GTATTAAAAAACACTCATCTAAATCTGTTCAATATCAACCTAAATTGTTTGTTAACCACCTACTTGTACCCCGTACCGAAACTGGTGAATCTTTCCGCTACCTTGGTCGTTATTTTAATTTCAACATGTCAGATGAAAAACACCAATCGGATATATGTGACTTGTTTAATAATATCATATCTAAAATAGATGAATTACATTTGCACCCCCGAAATAAAATCCTGCTATATAGTCGCTACTTGCTCTCGAAAATCTCATGGGACTTCACAGTAACTGATATATCTCAAACATGGGTTTGCGAGACTTTGGACGGTATTGCTACTAAATATATACGAAAATGGCTCGAACTGCCAATATCTGCAACTCTAAGCAATGTCTATCTCCCTTACAACAATTTGGTTTAAATGTCATTCTACCTTCAACGAAGTTTATACAGTGCCAAACTGTCTCACGCTTAGCTTTAAAGTCATCGATAAATGAAAACATACGTGAATTATGGTCAATAACAAGCACCAATAGGAAATTCAGTACGACATTTACTCAAACACAAAAGATGTATTGAAGGCATTTAGACAAAAAAACGAACAGCGACTACAAAATAACCTAATGTCACAAGGTTCTTTTTTCTCAAACATCGTGAAAAACTCCACGTTAACGTTGGCATTCAATTCCCTATGATCATCGGTTCATTCAAAACTTCCTAAGAACATATTTAACTTCAGTCTACGTTACATCAACAATTCTTTGCCTACTACAGTAGGAAAAACCTAGTTAAATGGGGTCTGTCATCATCTGCTGACTGTTCGTTCTGCTTCTGCCCTGAATCGCTTTTGCACGTAATCTCTGGATGTAAGACATATCTAAACGAAGGGAGATATACATGGCGACATGATTCAGTTTTGAATCTCATTGCGTCCAGCCTTCTCGACGTCGGAAGGTCCAAAATGTATGTAGATCTGCCTGGATTTATTAGCCCATCTGTCATCACTGGTAACGAGTTACGACCAGACCTTCTATTGACAATTGAAAATAAGATTTTGTACATTCTTGAATTAACTGTTGGATTCGAAACAAACCTGAAAACTAACTCAGATCGAAAACATGAAAAATATTTTACTCTAATTACCGATCAAGAAAATATATATGATGAAGTTAAGTTTGTTAATGTATCTATAAGCTCTTTAGGTGTATTTGGTGAATCGACGAATACTTTATTTGATATGCTCCATGATCTGAAGTACGACGAACAATGTATTAAATTTGTAAAAAAGAAAATAATTGCTACTTGTATTCGCACGTCTTATTATATATTCTGTAGACGAAACAAAGACTGGAACAACTCAGAACTTTTAAACTTTTAACTAAATTTAAAAGATTTTCACCTGTATATATATTTTAGCTTTAAATTCAATTCAAGTGGACATCGATAAGCTACCTTTTATTAAGTGAGGTTTATCAATGTATATATAGTATATCGTAAATATCTAATAAAAAGTTTCCATTATTATTATTATTATTATTATTATTATGACATCGATAAGCTACCTTTTATTAAGTGAGGTTTATCAATGTATATATAGTATATCGTAAATATCTAATAAAAAGTTTCCATTATTATTATTATTATTATTATTATTATTATTATTATTGTTATTATTATTATTATTATTATTATTATTATTATTATTATTATTATTATTATTATTATTATTATTATTATTATTATTATTATTATTATTGTGCACATAATATATTATTGTGCACACAATATATTATTGTGCACACAATATATCGATCCTACTACTATTGAAGCATTGATTGGTAGTCGTTTAATTCCCCTAGACAAAGGCGAAGGTGCGGTAAGACCTATTGGAGTAGGAGAGGTAATAAGGAGAATAAGTGCAAAATGTGTTATGAGCTTTGCAAAGAAGGATGTTGTGGAAGCAAGTGGATCGTTACAATTATGCGCTGGGCAGAGGTCTGGAAGTGAGGCTGCAATACATGCAATGAACACCCTGTTTGAAGCTGATGACATTGATGCTGTTTTACTTATTGATGCTTCTAATGCATTCAATGCACTCAACAGAACTGTGGCTCTGCATAACATCCGTGTGTTATGTCCGCTAATCGCTGGCTATGCTATAAACACCTACAGACAGCCAGCTCGGCTGTTTAATTGTTGGCGGCAAAGAGATTACGTCAGTAGAAGGAACAACACAAGGAGATCCTTTGGCGATGGCTTTTTATGCGATAAGTACCTTGCCTTTGATCACGAGTCTACAGGCCGCATCTACTGTGAAGCAGTGTTGGTTCGCAGACGATGCGAGTGGAGCTGGTCGTGTGACACAAATCAAAGATTGGTGGGATGCATTGAATACTCTTGGTCCAAACCTGGGATATTTTCCGAAAGACGAGAAATGCTGGATTATATATTGTTAAGCCCGAAAAGGAAGAAAGTGTGAGAGAAGTCTTCCATGGAACGGCTATCAATGTAACATTGCATGGGCAGAGACATCTTGGAGGAGCGCTAGGTTCACGAGAGTATATGGAGGAATATGTTAATGAAAAAGTCTCTAATTGGGTCAACAAAGTGACAAAATTAGCCGAATTTGCGCTATCTCAACCACAAGCGTCCTATGCTGCATACACATTTGGTTTGAAACATCGTTGGACCTACTTCTCAAGAACCCTGCCAGACATCCAGGACTTACTAGAGCCACTCGAGAAGGCAATATCGCAGATTCTCATCCCTGCTATCACAGATCACCAATGCAATGCACTCTATCGGGACATTCTAGCACTTCCAGAACGTCTGGGTGGCTTGAGCTTGGAAAATCCAAGTCATGAGGCAGAACGTGAGTATGCGTCGTCTAAAAGAGTGACAGCACCCCTTGTTGATTGTAGCGCAGTTACATCAGCTACCCGACGAATCGCATATTAAATCAGCGCAACAAGCCGTTAGAAAATAAAGAGTTCAAGAATGTGAGGAGAGGGCAGAACGTATTCGAGAGAGTGCACCACCAAGAATTCAGCGTATATTAGATGTGGCTTTGGAAAAAGGTTCATTCGTGTGGCTCACAGCACTTCCCCTAAAAGAACAGGGATTCAACTTGAATAAAAGAGAATATCGGGTCGCCGTAAAACTGCGCTATGATTGGCCAATCGAGGGGAGGCTTTGTAATTATGCGCCACAATGAGTTAAGAGATCTGGAAACGGAATTCCTCAACATTGCCTGTAGTGACATCCAAGTTGAGCCTGTCCTACAAGACATTTAGGGAGAGCAACTAAATCGAGGTTCGAACAGAGCACCTGATGCTAGACTCGATATTCGTACGCGTGGGTTCTGGGAAAGTCAACGATCAGCCTTTTCTGATGTAAGGGTTTGTCACCCCAATGCTGATTTGTACAAGGACCTGGAGCTACGCCAAATCTACAAGATACACGAAAACGAGAAGAAGCGCCTCTATGCAAGGAGAGTCCTCGAAATAGAGCAAGGAACATTTACGCCACTCGTATTCCCCACCACATGCTGTATGGGCAAAGAATGTGTGAAATACCATAGTCGATTGGCAGAGTTGGTAGCCATAAAGAAAGGCGAGGATTATGCGACAACTATGAGTTGGATAAGAGCCAGAACCTCATTCGCTTTATTGAGATCGGCACTTACCTGCTTGAGAGGTTCAAGGGCAAGGAAAATCATGTATGATATTGAGAACATTGATTTCAACATTGAGAACGCCGAGGGTGCTATATCTCTCAAACATTTTAGATTGTACATATACAAAGTTTAATTGTTTAGTTATTTAATTAGCGGAATATGTTAGTTTAGTTATTTGGCTACTTAGCGATAAAGATTTTAGTTATTTAGCGGTATATGTTCCAGAGTTTGGTTTTAAAATTTTACTGTACATATCAACAAACATTTAGATACTTTAATTATACCCAAAGAACAGATTATTTAATATAGTCATTGATAACAAAAGCATTATTGTATATATTGAAATTATGAATAAAGTTGTATATTATTATTAAAAAAAACAATTATTATTATTATTATTATTATTATTATTATTATAACTAACTCTAACTCAGATCGAAAACATAAAAAATACCTGCCGCTTATTTCAGATCAAGAAAGTAACTATGATAAGGTAAAATTTGTTAATGTATCCATAAGCTCGCTAGGCGTTTTTGGTCAATCGACGAACACCTTAACTGATATGCTCAAGGAACTGAAGTTCGATTAACAACAAATTAAATACATTAAAAAGAAAATCATTGCTATTTTTTTATTGCACCTCTTTTAACACTTTCCCATCAATACACCAATGTTTTGAGAAAGATTACTTAACCTTTGACGTGTTCCAATGATCATGTATTCTGTTTTTTTCCACATTTAGTGTTAATTTGTTTGAAAGAAGCTATTTTTTGAAGCTCATTATTTAAGGATTCTTCCACATTACATAAACTAAATGAACGTGCTGTAATATTTGTGTCGTCAGTATATATTGCAGCATGTGAGTCTTCCATTAAATAGTTAGGGAGATCGTTAACACTATAATCAAATATAGAAGAGGACCAAGGTTTGATCCTTGTGGAACCCCACAATTTACCTTCTTAGAGGACGATGTTGCATGCATTATTACGGAGTTTAAGCTTCACGTTTCCGGGAACGGCAAACGTCGGGTTCGAACTTTCTTGGAAAAATTTTTGTTGAACGTTTTCGTTTCATATTTTCTTTCTTGCTTCGAAAGAATAATTATGTTTTAAAACAGCAAGTTCACTTACTCTTTATTGGCTGATACCGTAAAATTTTTCTTTGCTTGGCGTTTGCCGTTTGACGTATAACGCGAAGCTTAAACTCTCTATTGACCACGCAGAATTGTTTTCTATTATGCAAATACGATTAGTTTTAAATACGATTTTTTTTTGTTTGTTTAAAAACCAGTCACGGCATTTGTTTTTAGTTCCGTAAATAAATAGCTTTTTATTAATAAGGATTTTATATATATGATCAACTGTGTCAAATGTTTTGCATAGATAAGGAAAAGGACACCGTTTATCATCCCGGCATCCATATTCAGTAACCATGAATCAGTATTCATATCATATTCAGTAACCATGAATGACCTTTTCGAAACCCAGACTGACATGGGGTCAGGATATTGTTTTCGGTTAAAAACATAATGATATTGAGTTGTGAACAAACAAGTTTCTCAAAAAGTTTCGCAATTATCGCGGGTATAGAAACAGGGGCCGGTTGTATAAAACTCTTAATCACTTTTTTAATCACTATTTTGTAGTTAAATAGTGATTAACTCTCAAATAGGCGCTTCTTATTGGATGACGTTTCCACTTAACTATGATTAACTTTAATCACTTTTTTATACAACCGGCCCCAGGTCGATAATTACCTCGCTCCTTTCTGTCACCGGATTTATAAATTGGACTTACTCTTGTTATTTTAAAATCATCAGGAAAAATTCCATTACTTATAAAGAGGCATTAAATATCAATGTAAAAATGAGGTAACGACGTATTTCGAGTCCTTTATAAGTTTGACTGGAATATTGTCAGGTCCCACAGACTTAGATGTATTTAATTTACTACTCATAAAGAACCTCCAGGGGCCGGTTGTTCAAAGCTGGGTTAGCGCTAACCCTGGGTTAAAATTTAACCTGCTATTTTAGTTTATGTATTTCTGCACGTCTATTTGTTTCAAAACTTCAGAGAAGAAAACTCTCATTGGTCCAGACCACTGATCTGAAATAAGACTGGATAACGCATCTATAGTACACAAAAGTGAAGCCGGAAGTCACCGGCCGCCACCCGACTCTGGGGCCCCACTTTTGTATAGATTTGTATTACAGACGGTAGTTTTTCGCGTTTTTTGCCTTGGCTATGTTTCCGACCGGGCCAATTTTGCAATCACAAAGATAGAAGCATACAAGAAGAATTTTGAGCAAAAAATTTGGAGTATTATGGCTTTATAACGCCGCGAAACGGGATTTACAACTCTGAAGGAGTGGAGAGCCTCAGACTTTGTTTATCAACACGAGCTCGTTTTGCTACTTTCATACAAAATCAACTAAAAATATACAAGAATTACTGTTACTGGATGAATATTCTCAGGAAATTTGAAGAAATGAAACAGCTACATTGTGAACAAAAGCGTACTGAGGTTAGTTTTAAAATACCTTGAGGCTACTTTTATAATTATATGAATTAAGGAACAGTTTTAAATGTCAATTTTGTCAAGAGCATTCCCCGGCGACTTGTCGAGAAGTTTTATATGTTTTAAAGTAGGAAGACAAGTGACAATCAAATATTTTTAATCCAAATTATAAACAATGACTCAATATAATGTTATTTTAATTCATATAATTATAAAAGGCTCAAGGTATTTTAAAACCAACCTCTGTACGCTTTCGTTCACAATGTTGCTGCTTCATTTCTTCAAATTTCCTGACAATATTCGTCCAGTAACAGTAATTTTTGTATATTTTGAGTTGATTTTGTATGAAAGTAGCAAAACGAGCTCGTGTTGATAAACAAAGTCTGAGGCTCTCCACTCCTTTAGAGTTATAAATCCCGTTTTGCGGCGTTATAAAGCCATAATACTCCAAATTTTTTGCTCAAAATTCTTCTTGTATGCTTCTATCTTTGTGATTGTAAAATTGGCCAGGTCGGAAACGTAGCCAAGGCAAAAAACGCGAAAAACTACCGTCTGTAATACAAATCTATACAAAAGTGGGGCCCCAGAATCGGGTGGCAGCCGGTGACTTCCGGCTTACTTTTGTATACTATAGATGCGTTATCCAGTCAGTCTTATTTCAGATCAGTGGTCCAGACAAGATTTCTGAAGAAATATTTCCAAGTCTATAACCAAGCTGTTGGGAAGTTTGCTTTGGATATTAGGCTAACCTAGGGTTAAGCTAATCGGCTTTTGAACAACCGGCCCCTGAATATGAATGTCTGAGAAATTAAACTTGAGCGCTAAAATTCATGTATGTCTCAAAATTGACATTAGTTTCCGAGATTTGGCTCGACAAGGTATAGGTCCAATGTCAGTAAAATACTGACTGCTTGATCTTCAATTTGCAATGATGAAATATTAGAAGATTTAGATTTTTTATTAATGAAATGATTAATATTTTTCCACATCAGTTTCAGTGTATTATTCTTATTTCTACTTATTTCTATCAATGTGACCTGTATAGCAATGTCGCTTTGCATATATTAGTTGTTTATTAATCTTATTTCGCATGTCCTTGTAGGCATCGTGATAAGCACTTGAATTTGATCGAATAGCTTTTTTCTTAAGGAAATCTATGGTTCATATTTTTCTTTATCTCATCTGTGAGCCACGGAGCTTTTTGACTTCTTACTTTACGGTTTTTAGTTGGCGCAATGACTTTTATCAAAGATTTTAATCACAGAAACTTCGATAGTGTAAGCGAGCGTTTAAAGTTCAGAAAACATCTCTATTTTCGGCAAATTGTCCGTTCAGCAAAATGTCTTTTCGACGAAAAGTGCGTTCGACAAAATCGTTCGACAAAATCTCCTTTCGACAAAATGTCTTTCCGCGCCAAAGTGTCTTTCGGCAAAATCTCCGGCCACTGGGGGCGGTTGCACTTCGGCTACGCCACTGGTCATTATAACGAGCAGCCATGATGGATTGATGGTATGATCGATATCCAATCTGCAAATAACTAGAGTCTTGACGGGAAAATCGTTATATCTCAAGAACGATCGAATTTACAATGTTTTATTCACCTACAGGTGAATATAACAAAAGTCAAAAACCGAAATTTGCAAAATGGTGGGTAGCCGTTTTGTGGAAGTTACTGATAAATAAATAAGCGAAATTAAAATAAATTCAGTCCCAAAAAACACAAAAGATTTGTGTGAAAATACTAAAACAATTATTCGCTTCAGGCTCGGTGATTATCGGGGAATATTTACCTCGATAATCATAACTCTCAGTGAATATTCCCCGATAATCACCTTGCCTTCGGTGAATAATTGTTATAATATAAGAAACTAAAAGTTTGTCCCCGAGCCAACGGCGAGGGTACTAACAACGTGCGAGGGTACTAATTCCGCCCGGCTATTTACACCCGGGAAAACGAAAGCATAAGCGGAGTCTGAAGTTCATCAATGATCGCGGGCGTGGGTGACCAACGGTGGGTGGTCATCCTCACTGATCTCAAAAATATGGCGGACTGTCATGAATAGCGAACACTGTTTGGTCCAGTTTAAAATTTGCATTATAACGACTGCATGACGACAGCGAAATAGCAAACATTTCTTGATTTGATGATTTCTTGCAAATATATTTCATTTTTGCAAGATTTCGTGAATTTCAAGGAGTGGTCATTATGGTAAATGGGGAAAATAAGGATTGAAAACTTTTTTGACCCCCCTCCAGACTGAAGGCAAACTTTTTGTGCCCCCCTCTCATAAAAGTAGAACTGCCCCCCCCCCCCAGTGTGTATTGGAAATTAACAGCAATGAAACAGGTGTGCGTTGCAAGTAAAGTTAGATATTAGGACAATCTGTTTATTCAACCATATATGATTAAAAAATATATATATATATATATATTATGTGTTACTATACTGCAATGCAACATTTGTCCTACCATAATTGTTCGTGATTCATATTCTATAACGGTGAGATAATATCAGCTAGTGACATAAAATATTAAATGTTGGTCATAATTATGTCACTGACATGATTTACTTATCATTTAGCTATTGTCCATTGTCCAACAGTTTTAAAAAGTCATTTAAAGTCATTAGTCTAGTGAAACAAGCGAGAACTCCACAGGATAATATAAAGGAGTTTGAAGTGTTTGGCGACGAGAAGGAAGCATGTCTTTATTGGGCATATACATTTAAGGTGGTTCGATAACAGTTTTCAAAAATTCAGGTGTTCAAAACTTTGAAATGTTCAAACTACGCATTTTTAGAATATATTCAGCAGATATTGGATTTTTTATATATTTCGATATCTCTACTTTCAAATTATATTAGTTTTAGTAACAGGTAGTTCATTGCTATGACGACATACGTGTACAAAATACACTCCAAAATGGCCTTTCGTCTCGTATAGTTGGAAAAGAAGCATGGTGACCCCCAATTTTTTTTCTTGCATTATTTTACTTGGACGAAAAGCTAACAATTAGCAAAATATAAAAAAATTCTGTAATGCCATTTTTTTGGAAAATGCGAAAATGTCATATTCTTCGGTAAAATTTTTTTGGCATTACAGAATTTTTTTATTTTTTGTATTATGAAAGTTTTTAGCGGTGCAATACAGCATGCAAAATTTGAACATAGGTTACCAGGCAAAATAAAGAGATATAGCGCATTGTTTTTCTAAATTGGAAAATTCTAATGACGTCAGCAATTGACATAAAACGCTATAGAACACGCGCAATGGCGTGAGATGGCGCGAGCAACTGCTTACGTCAGGTCATTTTGGAAGTTCTTTCATTTTGTTAATCAGTTTCCGCGACCTGCGCGTAAAAATGGTCACCCGGTTTTGAGTTCGCGATTCTTGAGCAGGGTTTTCGTGATAACTATATCGAGCCACCTTAAAGAGCGTTTCTTTACGTACTTTCCGGCTTTTCAATATGTTCATTAACATGACGTACTGACGGTGCGTGCGCCTGCATTACAAACCGCTGGCTGTCGCAGATTTCTAGCCATGTGTTGGTGACAAAAAGTTTGGTGTGGTAATACTAGTAGGCGGGTCTGGGGTATTCTCCCCCAGAAACTTTTCTGTATTTTTCCACCCCTAGGACTGAAATTGTGAGCATTTTCTGAAACAGATTTTTGGATATACAGGCTTTGATAGACCAAATCTGATCAGCTAAGTGTACTTGCATGGTATGTTTATGTAAATACCACAACTGGATCACACAGGGGGAAGGAAGCTTGTTAAACTTAGTGGGCCCGACTCCCACGAGGCGTTACCATGGTTGGCGCCGAGCAAGGAAATTTTGAAAATTTTGAGTCTCTAGATCGTTGGAAATGGCATTTCCAGAGTCTTCTTTTTGCTATTTGTGATTATAGAAATCAGAACTCTAGACATGGTATTTAAGTTCAAAAACTTTTTTTGACCCCTCTTTTCTCTGCGTTAAAACTTTTTTGACCCCCTCTATTTATAAAGGTAAAACTTCGTTTGCCCCCCCCATTTACCCCCCTCCCCATAAATAATGACCATTCCCTAAAAGCCAATCGTTGCGTATAATGAAACAAGATAGCATATAATTTCAGTGTATCTTTTATTGATTACCCTTTTTCATTATATTGAATTTTTTAAATAAAAAAAGAACGCAAACTTATTTGCATGCGAGAATTTGAAATCATTTTATTTCAAACACAAAGGCAAAGTTATCGATATTATAAAAGGCAGTTTTAATAGTTATTAGTTTTATAAAGAACATTTTAAAACATTTTGCGAAGCGTTTGTGGTTGAATTTTACCTTAAATTGAAGCTTATAGTACGTATAATAACATACCTAACATATATATGTTTGGGAAATTGATAATTTTGTAATTAAAAGTGATATTTTTGGGAGGTTTTTCATTTTGGAAAAATATGCTTAGAAAATTACCGTGTTACCATGACAACCACTTTAAATACTTCATGTTCGGAAGATACAATGGTTTTGTAAGCAAGGCGAGGGGTTTCTGCATGCATGTATTTTCTAGTACCTCGTAAAGTTTTCACTGAAGGCCGCGCAGAACAATTGTTGTTATATATGGCGTTTAGTTGCCGTTTGACGGAAGCAGAAATCCAAATATAAAAATAACTTCTAAATAACTTGCAGAAATCCAAATATAAACTTCGCAACGAAGTTCGGAACATTTGTGGTTAAAGTTCCGTGAAATCGACTGTAAAAATATTACATTTCTAAAGTGTTTTGTCGCTTCATGATGGTGATGTTGAAAGTTAATTTTCTTTTTTATAAAATGAGCTGAAGCTCTGTAACTAGACTTTGTCTGTCTCACTTTCATATGTTTTCTTGTAGTTTCCATGCAGGTACACTTTGGAAGACCTTCAACTGAGAAGATGAAAGAGTTAGCTTGCCCGTATACAGATAGCTTTCAGACTTTCAGCAATCCAGTAGAGGTACTAAAGGATTCTCTTTCGCTCGAATCCAATAAATTTCAATTTGACCGTTTCAACCGTCACGATACCATGAATGAAGAGTTGCTTAAGATGCAAAAAGACTGCACAGTGGAAGAAGAACTAGAACATTTTAACAAAATTTTGAAGCAACATGGCGAGTGTCAGTCCAGAAACGTGCACAAAAAGGTAGACGACAATTCTCAATCTGACATGGGAGCGGATATCTCAAGTAAAATGTCAATGCAGTCAATTGCGACTCGTGAACCAGATTTGTTATTAGATAAACTACATGACAAAAAGGTAAACCTAGTACTTGTAGCAACATCACTTGACGAAAGTGATGTTGTTACGAAACTTGAAAGCACGCTAGATCCTGCGGAGTCTAGTGTGGTAGTTCTGAAATTTGATGATAATACAAATGATATCTCGCATAATGACAACGCACATGCCACTCGCCGACCTAATACTGAGACGCACGAGGACCAACAAGAACGAGATCTGAGACGCACTGGAGCAACAACAACGAGAAAAACGTCTAAACAAGGAACAGGTGAAAGATACCGGAAACGACGAACTAGCAACAATGAAGCAGCAAAGAAATCACGTGATGGACGAAAAGCGCATTTCGAGTGGATTCAAAGCAGAATAAAAAAACTAGAAGAAGTAAACGCATTACTAAGAACAGAACTTGACAATTTGACACAAGAAATTTTAGATAAGGAGAAAGGTTTAGGGAAATAACTTTGAATTAGTTTAGATAGTTGCATTAAATCAAGATTTATCTAGAACGTCAATTTATTGTAAATTGTTCTGATTAGGCCTACTTAGGGCGATTAGGGCAGTAACTCGTTTAAGCTCGCCGCGAGATAATGCGAGTTTAGGCGATTTTAGGTGATTTAAGCAAAAACTGCAACTTTTAAGCAATGCGAGTTTAGGCATTTTAGGGCGATTTAAGTAAAAATTTGATTGAAAAAATTTCACTCTGATTGTAGTTTTTGTGCATGTGTTGTAATTGGCTAGAATTATGGAAATTATAGGCAGCATGTCAGATAACTGAGCCGGTGTCAAACGTCTCCGTTTAGCTTTCGTGCAGATAGTTAGATAGATATTATTTATATTAAAATTTACAAATTCTAAATATTAAAATAGAAAAGTAATAAAACTATTACGAAATCGATTTGTTTTAAAAGTAGGTCTACAGTAAATTATGGTTTCGTGGGTTGCTTGCGCATGCTGGAATTATTCTCGACGGTTTCCTTAAACAAACGATATATCCATTATGGCTTGAACTTACAACCTGTACAGCTTAGGCCCGGTTTACACTATACCGGATTGCTATCGGAGTGGGTCAAATTTTGTAGGTATCGAAAGGCTGTGAAGATTTTTAATCTCAGAGACCCAAATAAACATGCCAATTCTGTCAAACTAATAAGCATTTGCTACTAACCATTGCTCCGTAACGGCAAAAGAAGATGTCGCGACCAGCGAATCCGGTATAGTGTAAACAGGGACTTATATCTTAACTCAGCATTATCTTGTTATATCTTGTTGCTCAAGCCAATCAAGGTTCAGGATATCTTAGCCAAAACACATTGCTTGTACCTCATTAGGTTTTAAAAAACAAAGAGAGAAATCACCACAAAAATAGGATTCACTGACAAAAAAATGTTGCAGTAATACTTTGATTTCCTCTTTTGCCACATATTTTACAATGTAAACTATTAAGGGACCGTTCATTAATTAAGGACCAGTGGGGGGCTGGAGAAAAATTAGGGGGGGTTACCAAAACAATTTATGGTTAGAAGGGGAGGGGGCCTTTAAAGTGTTTTCAGCATGAAAGGGGGAGTTGCCAAAATTATTTGTGGTAATTATTAATATTTTAGGTTGACCAGTTTCAAATATTAAGCCTTCACAACCAAAACCATTTGATGAAATGGTTTTCAATTTTAACAGTTTTAAAGCTTTTGTTATGTTTGTGGTGAAGAAATTGGAAGCGTTGCTTATGTTGGTGGAGAAATTTTGAATATGCTTATGTTAGTCTGGAAAAATTTTTAGACTATGCTTATGTTCGTCCGGAAAATTTTTTTACCTCCCCCCACCGTCGACAACACTTTTGGGAAAAATTTGTATGACTTGGTGAAAATAAATAGGGGGGTTGTGAAAAAATTAACACCTTCATGGGGGGGGGTCATGACTTGCACCGTTTCTGCTCTTTTTCCTCCAGCCCACCCTGACGTATAATTAATGAACGGTCCCTAATATCGATTATTTCAGTGCAAACCAAAACAGAGCAAAAAATAAAATGTCGTTTGTTAGCTTCAATAAAATGTGAAATTCAAACCAAAAATACTAAAACTTCTTCATTTTTTACAAATTTAATGTAAAACAGCGATATTTCGTTGGCACAACCTGTAATATGACAAAATTCGTGTTTATAGATTTTTGAACGAGCGAAAATTGTGTTTAAAAATGATACAAAGTTTACGCTTCGAAATGAGGGTCATGGAAAAATCTGATTGCTATGTTTATCTGTTTTTTAAATACTTTGAAAACCTAAAAATAATATTTTAAAATTATTATAGCAAAATACATGGCAAAATGTTTATTCGGATGCTCATTTTCTGAGTCGCCTTTTTCGTATAAATCACACTTGCACGTGAAATTTGCTAAAATTCAGTACTTTCTTCATTCTTCAGGCGAGTTTACATTCTATTAGCAAAAACTAGAAAGAAAAGCACGTCTTCTGACCTAATCACATTTCCGGCATTGGCACAACTTGCATACATGAGCTCGAGAAAATTAAGGTGATAAACAAGCAATTTTAGCAAAATACCTCACATACTGAAATTTGACGATTATCGTTGGCGCACATGCAGTATCACTCAAAAACCAAATATTTATACTTTGTCCTGGACAACAAACGCATGCATATACTGCTAATTTCAAGTAGTATCCCATCAATATTAAGTTCCTGGTCGAGGTTATTTGCCATCAAAAACACACATTTTGCAAGAAACGTCATTTTCGGCCATGTTTCAGCGAAGAATTCTTGACTGCTAATTTTCTGATTGCGACAAATAATTGTGGTCTTGATTAACGTTTATTAACTTTTACGTCTGCTAGCTTTCTTTTATTTTCCCTCTGCTTTTATTTAACACATTTTTATGAAAGAAAAAACTTTTAAATCACTTTTATACCAATACCAAACCCTATAGGCCGTTTGCTGCGTCCCGATATCGTTCACTTTCATTTCACCCATCTTGAAACTGAAATATTTTTACGGGAACTAACACTTTCGAACACGCTGAGTTCAAATCCGAAAAGTTCCCGCTCCGTAGACCTGCAGTTTTCTCACAAACTGCAATTTTATCTTCACTAATTTCACAACAACTTTTTCCATTGTTCAACGACACGGATCGATGACGCCAAACGATTCCCAGCGGGCAAAATGACGTTTATCCAACGTTGAATCAACGTTGGAAATGACCTTCCAGACGTTGGATAGACGTTGAAAAAGGGTTGACTATGCAAATTGGATCGACGTTACTGTTTCGACGTTGAAACAACGTTGAAATTAGGTTGCCAATCTCGTCAACCATAATTCAACGTTGAATCCACGTTAAACTGAACAACGTTGAGATTGGTTCACAAATCGACCTCGTACATTTAACCATGAATGAACGTTAATTCAACGTCTGTTGGCTGCTGTTGAACCAATTTTTGTAAAACAACGTCAGAGCAACGTAGATATTAGGTTGTCGACGTGGCAACCTTTTTTCTACCAAATTTCAACGTTGAAATAACGTCGTGTGCCCGGTGGGATGTTGAATTCAACAGTACTTGTTCTTCATTAAGTAAAATTAAGTGTGGCGTACCTCAAGCTTGGGTCAATCCTCGGACCTTTGTTTTTCCAGATCTATATTAATGATATGTAGCTAATTCTAGTTAAAAATATTATTGCCCAGCAAATAACTCGTAAAAAACATTTGGTATATAAAAAATATTTATTATTACTGAGTAACGTTTCGTCACATTGCAAGCGACATCATCAGACTAAATACAGTAAGGCTATTTCATCTATTTTATAACAAATTTTGAAAAAATATATGATATACAACTGAGATAAGTGAAAGATATAGATTAAAAAAAGGAATGTCACGTGGTTAGCGTCATGCAGTGTTAAAAGATGTTAGTAAATTAACAAGAGGAAACACCTACTTAGAAAAGTGTTAACGGAAAAGATCGGACACTATTAGATCATTAGATGGCACAACAAGGAGTTCTCGAAATCTCGAAGAAAAAATTTTCAACAGGCTTCATTAAAAATATTATTGTAACTTGGCAGTTTTTTATGAAGTGATATTCCCTTCAAAATGCAACTGCGATTTTTGTTATGCAACATTGTATTTTGATACACTATTTTTCTATAACAAGGCTGTATTTTGGAACACTGTATTATGCAAGCATGCTTGTATTCTGGAATACTGCAATGTGCAAGCTTGTATTTTGGAACATTAAATTGTGTAAGATGACATTATGGAACATTATATTATGCAAGCTTGTATTATGGAACATTAAATTGTGAAAGCTTTTATATATTATGCAACATTAAATTGTGAAAGCTTGTATATTACGCAAACTTGTATTGTGAAACACGCGACGCGCGAGACGAAATACGTGCTCGTTCGAACCGCGTGTTTATAACGGTCTTGAAATAAAAAATGGCTGATCAACAAACAAACACTGGTCAGTCAAATTTTACACAAGTTGTCAGCTTGTTGAGACAAGCGGAATCTTTACTTTCAGGTGTATCTAATATAGTGATAACACAGTAGCTATAATAATACAAATGCATCATTAAGGCCACCTAACAGTTCAACCCTGACAGAGAATTCGAATGTGGATAGTGTGCCATCAGTCGCGACAACGTCGACAAGTTCTGATAGATCCTTAGCGAACTTTCGCTCGCTTTTTTCCAGTTACCATCGTGGGTCATTTCGGCAAAATTCATCTCGTGCGTCTTCGGCTCCACCGCCAAAACGAAAACGAACACTTGTATGGTCTGATGTATGCCAGTGCTTGGCCTAATCCGGATGCCTCTCTCAAAAAGGGCACAGAGTAACCAGATGGTGGTAGAAGTATTACAACCAAATCTTTATTGCTAGCTCTGCTGCGAAGGATTTCGAAACCACCACAATTCTGAAGTTTGGGAAAATATTCTTCGAGTTTGGCCACAAAAGCAGATGCACTACCATCTTTTTTAAAAACTATTTTTTTTCTTCCTAACCCAGCAAGCTGATGGTCACATTTTTGTCCTCGAGTTGATTGATAGTTTTGATGGCGATCAGCCAAACAAAAGAATTCATGGATCCGCGTATCTTTGGGTAAACACTGAGAAAATGTTCGTTATCGTTTTGGCGGTGGAGCCGAAGACGCACGAGATGAATTTTGCCGAAATGACCCACGATTGTAACTGGAAAAAAGCGAGCAAAAGTTCGCCAAACATCTATCAGAACTTGTCGACGTTGTCGCGACTGATGGCACACTATCCACATTCGAATTCTCTGTCACGGTTGAACTGTTAGGTGGCCTTAATGATGCATTTGTATTATCAGCTACTGTGTTCACTATATTAGATACACCTGAAAGCAAAGATTCCGCTTGTCTCAACAAGCTGACAACTTGTGTAAAGTTTGACTGACCAGTGTTTGTTTGTTGATCAGCCATTTTTTATTTCAAGGCCGTTATAAACACGCGGTTCGAACGAGCACGTGTTTCGTCTCGCGCGTCGCGTGTTTCACAATACAAGCTTGCATAATACAAGCTTTCACAATTTAATGTTGCATAATATATAAAAGCTTTCACAATTTAATGTTCCATAATACAAGCTTGCATAATATAATGTTCCATAATGCCATCTTACACAATTTAATGTTCCAAAATACAAGCTTGCACATTGCAGTATTCCAGAATACAAGCATGCTTGCATAATACAGTGTTCCAAAATACAGCCTTGTTATAGAAAAATAGTGTATCAAAATACAATGTTGCATAACAAAAATCGCAGTTGCATTTTGAAGGGAATATCACTTCATAGTTTTTGGCCTGGGGACGTTTTGGCCTGGGGACATTTTGACTGTGCAGAGTCGGGGACGTTTTAACCTGGGGACGTTTTGACTGGATACCGAATTTTCCATCATGGCGCTTACTTTCTTCGAAGTAGAGTAGACGGTGAACAAATGAAAATTTAAAGAAAAGTTGTATCATTTTCACTTCGATCTTAAATCTTAAGAATTCACCAACAAAGCATGTTGACAATAAAAGTAAGACTGCATCGCCGCCAATGCAGCCCTTGATGTGTCAAATGAATAATATTGAGGATTTAATCAACTTGTCTAAAATTAACGATCTATGTGATATTGAAACCGATGTCTTGGGCGATGCATCCAAATCTGATGATATGCTTCTAAGTCCAAATAATTCTACTATAAAGGAACTTGAGGCCTTTATTGACAAGTCTTTCTATAGCGCCTCTGTCGAGCTATCTAATCCTGTCCAGCCGACGGACTTCTCTACTCTAGCGCAAAGACGCTCTGAAGAAAACCTGCCTAAACCCGAAGCTCAATTTCTAACATTTAAAGAAAACGTTGAAACTCGGCTGCAAGTTTTGTCGTACAAACTCTTTGAACAGAATAATACCATAAATATAAATAAACAAGAGCTATGCAAATTGACCTGCAAAAATTTACATCTTAAATCACGTATCTCGGAGTTGGAGGGGAGATTGTCGCCAAAGAATACAACAAATGGGAGTAGTGATCTGAGCCCGTGTGAAAAAATAGTTAAAGGAAATAATATCTTAACTGCGAATATAGATGCTTGTGCTATTTCTAGTCGCCTTTCACCTGGAACAACTGCATATGTCGATGACAGCGATGAATATGCTATCTCAACTGCGAATGCCGATGCTTGTGCTGTTCCTAGTGACAGTCCACCCGAAAAAAGTGCGCATGCTGATGACACTTCGGCCCCTATAAGTCAACAGTGTGTAGGATATGATAAAGAGACTTTGAACCGGACTGACAACATCGTCAACCCAGAACGCACAAAAAAGCTCGTAAAGCCCGCCATAATGTGCAATAGTAAGTCAACGATATGTCAACAGAAAATGTATGGGAAATCCCCTCTTCAGGATCGGACAATGCCACAAGATTGGTTAAATTATCTCCCTTTTGTAGAAACCGGTCAAGAGGAAAATGTTAATTCGAATGTTTCGATGCAACTAGATTATAATCTTACGAGAGAGAATCCGGTAGAAACGCTACCATTGACTAAGATGTCACCTCGGACTAGCTCTCATAATAATACCAACGTTATTCCCGATGAAGTTCTACACACGCCTATTGCGTTACTGGGCGCTGATTCTAGTAATGTGTGCATGGAAGATCAGTTAAAAGCATATCGACGCAAACATCAAACGGTAAACCGCATCAAGCAATGTCCAAATCCCATGCAACCCAAAAAGGTTACGTTTTTTAAAGAACAATCAAAACCATACTGTGGTAGAGTTAATAAAACCCGATTTCAGACAGAGTATAACCAGGAGTTTTTTCGGGAGGGAAATGCGTATCGACACACGAACGACTGGCTACATCACTTAAATCTTGTTCGCCGATTAACACAATGACAACACTCCAACAACGGCACCAGGGACCGCACCACCCTTTAACTTTACCTATCCCTATCCCTGTACGAATTACTAACCGAGACACAATCGCATTACAGCGTAATCCAATCGCTAATGGACTTGTAAATCCTGAGCAATTGCGACAAGTCAGACATACCAAACAAATACCAACAACATTGACATCAGCCAGAATTCATAATCCTGCAAACTGTGTCCAAATTACCCTCGCTACCGCGATGGAATCAACAGTTGCATGTGCTCCAGAAAATGTATTCGTTCCAAGTGTTCTCCTTTCCAATGTGATGTCCTTAGCGCCGAAAATTGATGAGATTCAACATTGCGTTGTGCACGCAAATTTTGGTCTAGTTTGTTTAACTGAAACGTGGCTAAAAGATTGCATCCAAGACGAAGTAGTGTCCATCAGTGGATTCAATATAGTTCGGCTTGATAGAAAATCACAGGTACACGGCGGAGTTTGTACGTACATCAGTGAATCGATTCAATTCTCCCTCATGGACGATTTAGTTGACCCTGCTTTCGAAGTCCTGTGGATTAAAATCCGCCCAGCCCGACTCCCAAGAGGTTTTAACTGCATCGTTGTAGGAACAGTGTACCATCCACCAAGTGCAAGTGATTCTGAAATGTTGAACTATCTTATAAATTGCCTCTCATCAATTGAAGCTCAGAGCCCTAATAGTGGAATCCTTCTACTCGGAGACTTCAACAAATTGAAAGTCACAAAATTGAAATCTAGTTTCAAATTAAAACAAATCATCACTTTCCCAACAAGAGGTTCAAATACATTAGATCTTATTTTGACTAATTTACACGAGTTCTATAACAGCCCAGTTCAGCGTCCCCCTTTTGGTCTATCCGATCATATGACTATTGATCTTCAGCCAAAAATACGTTCACAACAACCGAAGCAGCGATTAACAATTAAATCAAGGGACTTGCGTCCAAGTAATCGTTTGGCTATGCACACATACTTTCAAGAAATAGATGTTGCTGTCCTAGTTAAAACCAAAGATACGTACGCTGAAAAATTAGAGATTTTTCAATCAATCCTAAAGAACGGTTTAGACCAAGTAGTTCCCCTACGAACTAGAACTATCCATCTAAATGAGCCCCCATGGATTAATTCAACCTTTAAAAAATTAATCAAGCAACGCCAGCGAGCCCTTAGTCAAGGGAACTTAATTGAATTTCGACGCCTAAGAAATTGTGTGAATCGAGAGAGAAAAGTGTGCCGATCAAAGTACTATGAAGCAAAAGTTGAACATTTAAAAGATTGTAAACCAGCAAAGTGGTGGAAAGAAATTAAAAAGTTAAGCAGCATGTCCTCTGCATCTGGGAGACAAAATGATGTAATGAACTCTCTCCGATTCATAGAAGAGGCCTCAAGCACATCTGACCTAGCTAATATAGTTAATGATGCTTTTATTCTTCCGATGAAGATTTTCTCACCTCTTCCACACGATTTTCAACTCGAACAAGATATCCCTTCATCCGCACCATTTGTTTTATCCGTTCACTCTGTTTTTATGAAGTTGTCGTTGTTGAATCCAACAAAAGCTCAAGGTCCAGATGGCCTCCCGGTCTGGCTACTGAAGGAGAATGCAGACCTTCTTGCAGAACCTATAGCAGAAATTATAAACAGCTCCTTCCGCGAAAGTAGGTTACCACCATCATGGAAAGAAGCGGATATAGTTCCAGTACCGAAACAAAGAATTGTAAAAGACGTCAGCAAACACTTAAGACCAATTTCCCTCACGCCAATACTTTCTAAAGTTGCTGAGGAGTTCATCATACAAGAATATGTCAAACCGGCGGTTTTAAAAAAGATTAAAAGTAACCAATTTGGCTCAATTCCAAAATCATCGACAACCCAGGCTTTGATCAGCATGATACACACATGGAGCAAGTATACGGACGGAACTGGCTCTACAGTCAGAGTGGTTGTTTTCGATTTCAGGAAAGCTTTCGACCTAATCGATCACAATATATTGGTTCGAAAGCTAAAAGATCTAAATATCGCCCATAATATTATCAGTTGGATCGTTGATTTCCTGAAATGCCGCAAACAAAGGGTAAAATTGTCACAGGACTGTAAATCAGAATGGAAAAATGTGCCGGCAGGAGTTCCCCAAGGAACAAAGTTAGGGCCTTGGTTGTTCGTGTTGATGATTGACGATATAGACACCACCAATACAGACTTGTGGAAATATGTGGACGATACCACAGTCGCTGAGATGGTAGAAAAAGGAGAGACAAGTAAGATCCAGAATATAGTAAATGAATTAACGGAAAAAACGTATAGGAACAAATTCCAGTTTAATGAGAAGAAATGCAAAGAGCTTCCGATTTCTTTTACAAAAAATCACCCTGAATACGCACCTATTGTTATCAATGATAAACCAATAGAAATTGTGACTACCATCAAATTACTGGGTCTGAACATTTCCAATAATCTTAAATGGAACCATCATATAGAGGAAATTGCAAAAAAAGCTTCCACTCGGTTGTATTTCCTGAGGCAACTAAAACGTGCCAAAGTTGCCGAAAAGGAACTTTTAACTTTCTACAAGACTTGTACCGGCCTATAACCGAATACGCCTGTCCTGTTTTCCACAACGGATTATCCACGTATTTGTCAGATGAATTAGAACGTATCCAAAAACGCGCAATGCAAATTATATTCCCAAATATTAATTATCAGGACGCACTGAAGAACAGTAACTTATTTTCTTCATACGAAAGAAGAGAATACCTAACGAATAAACTCTTTGAAGAGATATGTTCTGATCCCAACCATAAACTGCATTATCTGGTGCCGAAACTAAACGAAACTGATATTGGACTAAGGAACAGACGTATGTTTAACTTTCCTGTGTGTAAAACAAACAGACTAAAAAATAGTTTTATATTTAGTAATTCAAGTAGGAAAACTTTTTAATCCTAGTTTATATTTATACTTATTGGATATTACATGTAAAATTAGTTTATCACTATTTTAATCACTTTTAACTTTTATATTATGTAAATTTATATGCAATTCAGCCATTTTGACTGCAATGATATATCTTAATAAACTATCTATCTATCTATCGATTAAAGCTTTTGCCAAATCTGTACGTCTTGTTCTATATTTCCACTCTGTCTTTGGCTTCTCCAAGCGAATGGTGTTGAAATATTTAACATGGCGTACCGAGTTGCTGAAGCGTGAAAGGGCTTCGATTCGATATGGTCAGACACGAATTATGGTATTTTTCACATTGTAAAGGTACGTACTTGGTTAAATTACTTTTTAGATAAGGGACACATTGTGGATCATTGTTTAAATGGGAAAATACGGCGATCGACTCATTAGTCATTTCACGCGGCTTGAGACACGAAGATGTTCTCACACTAGGTCGGCCTAAAAACAATACATGTTTGATCAAGTGTTCTTTTCACAACCGAAATATTGAGCTCGTTTGGCGCGAAAACTAACCGTTTGAAATACCTATCTTTCTCATTTCAAATATTTTCGCTGTTGTAAAAAGGTGCTTTTAAGTGCTATTCTGAATCACTGCTGTTGGGTGTTTTAGTGGAGTTTTCAACTACAAAAAAATGTATTAATATTGTTCGCTTGTTCGACTATCTACTTGGCCGGTTTTGGACTGTTTCTGGACCAGTTTTTTCGAAAAAAAATGGAAGGTAAGATGGGAGAACTGACCAAGGACAAAGTACGGAAGTACGACTTGTTGTGTGCAACTTTGTAGAAGCAACAGTGTAAAAAATCCAGAACTGTCTTTCCACAAATTCCCCCAAGATTCCAAGGAGACATGGCTGAATTTGTTGCATATAGACAAACAGCCATTGAAAAGCCATAAAATTTGCTCTTTGCATTTTCCTGGCGGAAAGAAATCATTTGGTGCATTACCAACTCTCCTTAAATTATCATATAGACAAACAGTAAACAGTAACCAAGGTAGAGAGCATATTCTAAGCTGTGACTCTATTATAAATACTAATGATGAAACTACTACATGTACATCTGAACAGCAAACATCTGGCAATATATTTAAGCCTGATATTAAAACACAAGAGTCAAGCTACGAAAAATTGACAACTGAACATGCTGAATTGAAAAGAAATTGTGAATTGAAAAGAGTTATCATCAAAATATGAACAGTGTGTACTCAGAATAGAGCATGTACTTGCGAGTGATACAACCTTTAAATTTTACACGGGTTTTCAAAATTACCAGACATTTCAAGCCTTTTTTGAATACCTGCAACCAGCATGAAATTTTTTAACCTATGCTGGTTCAAGTGACAATGTGGAATATACATCAGAATCAACTCGAAAATTAGGACGACCAAGGTCAATGTCACCAGAGCAAGAGTTGTTCATGGTCCTGGTTCACTTACGGTGTGGGCTTATGGGAGCTGACATTGCTTACCGATTTGGCATCTCAGAAGCACACGTTTCTCGTATCTGGGTTACTTGGTTAGAGTTTCTGTACCACAGGTTAAGGGCCATTCCCATTTGGGCATCACAGGAAAATATACAACAAACCATGCCACAGCCTTTCAAAGATACTTACCCAAACACCCGCGTAATAATTGATTGTACTGAACTACTTGTAGAAATGCCTACTTCATTTAGAAGTCAATCAGCCACATACTCATCATATAAAAATCATAACACGTACAGCAAAGGGATTAATTGGAATTTCTCCAGCTGGTTATCCAACATTCGTGTCTGAACTATATGCTGGGCGGTCTAGTGATAAACAAGTCACCAAGGATTGTGGCATTCTTAATTTACTTGAACCAGGAGATCATGTCATGGCAGACAGGGGGTTCAACATAGAAAATGATATGCCGGCTGGTGTTGGGCTGAATATACCACCATTTTTGAATGGTGCACCCCAACTGTCACTTAGCGATGAAACTGAAACACGGAAAATTGCTGCTCTTAGAGTGCATGTAGAAAGAGCAATTGGGCGCATCAAAAATTTTAAAATAATCAAAAATGTTTTTCCACTGAAAATGTCATCAGACCTGAACAAGATTTGGATAATTTGTTCTTACCTTACTTTGTTTTATCCACCTTTAATTAATTGATTAATGTTAAACGTAAATTAAAATGCACAAATTAAATAATTCTTATTCAGTTTAAAATATATTAATTCACTATTTTACTAGTTTAGGGTTAATGTATGTGAAATAAAATAAAGTGAGTTTTGGTAACATTGTTTTGTACCATAATTCATGGTCAAAGTAAATTCTCTCACTAAAAATGTCTTGCTTAGTGTACACAATAAAATCTCCCCATTTAACTTTGCAGGTAGCCATAAGCCCTTGCAGTTGGTAGTAGTACTGGTGATTTCTTTTCAATGTTGGTGTACCGGTAGTTTATTTGTCATTACTGGGTGCCGTTAAAAAAATGACGAATCCTCACAGGCATCCTAAATTGTCATTTCTTTTTTTGAAAATGGGCATTTAACTTCACCTACCCCAAATGGTGTTGTTTCTCTAGCATCATATAATAAACAATCTGGACTGGCACCAAGCCATGGAGCTTCCGTGTTTATAATCAAGCCACATTGAACACAGGGCCGTCGCGAGTGGGGGGGGGGTGCTTCACCTCCCACCACTAACATGCAGTGTTATCCACCACTAACATGCAGTGTTTTATTAAGACTGCTCGAAATACAAAAAAATTATAAATTGTCTATTCGGTGCCTGGGGATAAAAAAGGTCAAATTCATCAAATTGCCATGAAAATATTGAAACAAAATATCAATGCAATCACATGCAGATACTCGGATAACTTTGCTGACTTTGCGGAGATGCGCGTCTGCACCACAGGCTAAGACACTTGTTAAGGCTGATTTCCACTGTTGCGTTTTTCGTACGCACGTACACGCAGGTAAAACTTAACTTTGAATCCTTCAATTTTTTAAATATTTTACAAATAAGTTAACAAATGCATACTAAAACTTGCGGAACACTAAATTCTGTTGCTTTATTTATTTGGTTATTTCATAAGTAATTAACATTTAAACGGATTTAAAGTTTTACGTGCGTATACGTACGTATCAAAAACGCGGCAACAGTGGAAATCAGCCTTTACTCAGACTATGTGCACACAGTAACGTTTCCGAGCGTTTTTGGTTGTAATGCGTTTCTGAAACTGAAAGTACCATTTTCACGTTCTGTTTACACGAAGACGTATGAAAACGACGTCAGGAAACGATGCCAAAGATTCGTTTTCTATGTCTGGAACGTTTGGTCGTTTTGGCACTTTGTTGTCGTGTGAACAGGAAAGTGGAAGGCGAAAATGAAATGCCGTGCTGGAATTTGGAAACGAAGACTAAAAACTGACTAGTGCTTTGTCAAAAAATCTGTTATTGGAAAAATAATCAATATGAACAAGTCGCCTAAACGCTAAATTTGAACCCCCCCACTGCAGAAACGCTCAAAACCGTTGCCGTGCGCACTTAAACACAGTCTCAGTCTCGATTTACGACTTATTTAATTAAAACACAATAGACTGCTATGCTAATATTTTTTTTCAGCTTTATATGTTTAATATAAATAAATTAAAATAATACTCCTGTTTGAAAACAAACGCACGAATTCATTCATGTTATTAGGGCAGGTTCATATTGAGCTGTGGTTCCAGTTATTGCGTGCTTCGATTTCGTGTCATATTTTATATATAAAGAAACCTGCATGATTGCTTTGTATAGCAACCGACACACGAACAGGCTCCATTTGATATAATTACGTCGCCGAAGACAGAGGATGCGCCTTATTGTGGCTGCTCCTACATTCCTTATTTTCTTAAATATCCTTGGTTTTAATCTTATTCAGAAGATATTCAGGGTATATACAACACTATAATAAGGTATCTTTGGTTGGAAACAGAATTTAAGCGCTATGTCTCGTTTTTTGAGCAAAATTTGGTCCATGAAAGATTTTGGCTGTGGCAAAATACAATCGATTCTACAACATGGCAAACATTACTGGATTTAAATATAGCAGTAAAGAAACCTATGAAGCGTGGTTGTCGTGCTGGAATCAACAAGGTACGAAGTATTAAAACAGTTATTGGAAACCGACTTCCCTCTGATTTAAGTTCAAGCACTCGACAATCATTCTCAATAACAAATCGTGCTTTATTTCAACAATCTTTCAGCCTCGTCAGACGCAGTTATTATAAGCGCCGAGTCAATTTAAACAAGCTATATAAAGGCCCAAGCCGAGGATACGAATCAGGTAGATAAGGAAAGTATAAAACATTTTGTTCCCAGCTTGATGTTAACTAATGCGATGTCACTGCCCCCAAGATCGATGAAGTTCGTTCGTTTGTTTTGGATTCAAATTTAGACCTAGCATGCATCACCGAAACGTGGCTGAAGGACACCGTTAATAACAACGCAATTCATATCCCTGGATATAAATTAGTACGCAAAGACCGCACTTTTACTTCTCACGGTGGTGTTTGTATTTATGTTCGCGAAGAATTTCAGTGTTTTCAGCTGGACGCCCGGCCTTGAATCAGACAACGTCGAAGTACTTTATATTAAAATACGCCCAAGAAGGCTCCCACGGGGGATTCCATGCATTGTAGTAGGAACAATATACCACCCGCCAAGTAATAATAACTCCTCAATGATCGATTATTTAGTCAATTCTCTGTCGGCTATCGAGAGCGAAATCCCCAACTGTGGAATTATCTTAGCAGGTGACTTAAACCATCTTGACACATCGTCGATTAAACGTCAATTTAGATTAAAACAACTAGTGGACTTTCCCACGCGAGGCAGGAACACTTTTGATGTGATCCTCACAAATATGCCAACCTTTTACGAGAAACCGGTAAAATCTTCTCCCTTTGGCCTTTCCGATCACTGCACTATCACTATTTGTCTATTTCACCAATTTCAAAAACCAAAGGCAACAACAAACGAGTAAAAATTGTAAGCAGAGATTTAAGACCATCAAAAAAGAACAACTCGGTCACTACCTGTCCTCGATTGATTGGACAATACTTGCCTCCATTGACTTAGTAGAAGACAAAGCCAAACTACTAGAGGACTATATTACAATTGGCCTTGATAACATTATGCCAATAAAAACAATTACAGTTCACTCTAATGACGCACCATGGATGACTTGTGAATTAAAATCACAGCCAGATAAAGAAACGTCAACTAGCATTACAACAAGGAAACGATACATTATTTAGATACTATAGGAATCTTGTTAATCGTAATCGAAAGAAGTGTAGGGGGAATTATTATGCAAGCAAAATAAGCCATTTAAAAAATTCCAAACCAAAGAATTGGTGGAGAGAAGTCAGTAGTAATACTCCCCACTCTGGAGTACAAAGGGATGCCGCCAATGACGTCACATTGCTCCGAAAGTAATTAGTATGCAAACTTAGGTGTCGGAAGTAATTAGTATGCAAGATATGTGACGCAACTTTGCTGGCCCTAACCCTGGGCCAGGTAGCGCGACCAATTAACGCGGGCAGGCCTGGGCCAACTGTGACAGGTAACGCGACCAATTAACGCGGGCAGGTCTGGGCCAAACGTGGTCGATTAGCATTACAATGCAGTAACGAGACCAATTAGCGGCACAACTAGTTTCTGACAAATTTGTAATAGAACGACCAGAGGTTTCTCATAGTTTGCATGTATAAAAGTATGAAATAGAAGTTAGTTTTTTAAAACCTACCGTTAGCTCAGTTGGTAGAGCAAAGGACTGTAGTTATTACCAAATCAGTATTCCTTAGGTCACCGGTTCGAACCCGGTACGGTAGAAAATTTTTTGCATTACAACCATGTAACAACGTTGTGAGTCCCTCTCTTATTTTCAACACGCAATTGAAATTCGTTTTAATTTTTTAATGAATTTGATGGCTCGTTTTGAGCAATAAGTTTCCAAACAGAAATAAAAAATATCGCAACAGAAATAAGCAGTTGCTAATCCCGGGTTGTCAAAGCCGTTGTTATGATCGCTATTTGCATGTTGTAAACCCGCATACATATATACGGTCAAGATGACCGAGTCAGATAGAATACTTGAAGGAAATAACCTGTAGAACAATTTAACAGTCTTAGTTGTAATATTTTTTGTCTATTATTTGTATTAAGAAACATGTTTTAAACTTTGCTGCGTTGTTATGTGTTGCCAAGTGATTAGGTGGCGTGTAGGTAATTAAGGGATTAGGCGAACAAAAAATTTGCATAACTCAATGTATCCCGATGGATAGATAGGGATTATATCCTAAGATATTGATATCCTAAGAAAAATGATATCCTAAGATACTGGATGATATCCTAAGATATTGATATCCTAAGATACTGATATCCTAAGATATTGATATCCTAAGATATTGATATCCTAAGATATTGATATCCTAAGAATAATGATATCCTAAGATATTGATATCCTAAGATATTGATATCCTAAGATACTGGATGATATCCTAAGATATTGATATCCTAAGATACTGATATCCTAAGATATTGATATCCTAAGATACTGATATCCTAAGATATTGATATCCTAAGATACTGATATCCCAAGATACCGATATCCTAAGATACTGATATCCTAAGATATTGATATCCTAAGATACTGATATCCTAAGATACTGATATCCTAAGATATTGATATCTTAAGATATTGATATTCTAAGATATTGATATCCTAAGATACTGATATCCTAAGATATTGATATCCTAAGATATTGATATCCTAAGATACTGATATCCTAAGATATTGATATCCTAAGATATTGATATCCTAAGATACTGATATCCTAAGATATTGATATCCTAAGATATTGATATTCTAAGATATTGATATCCTAAGATATTGATATTCTAAGATATTGATATCCTAAGATATTGATATCCTAAGATATTGATATCCTAAGATATTGATATCCTAAGATATTGATATCGTAAGATACTGATATACTAAGATAATGATATCCTAAGATATTGATATCCTAAGATACTGATATCCTAAGATACTGATATCCTAAGATATTGATATCCTAAGATACTGATATCCTAAGATATTGATATCCTACGATACTGATATCCCAAGATATTGATATCCTAAGATACTGATATCCTAAGATACTGATATCCTAAGATATTGATATCCTAAGATATTGATATCCTAAGAAAACTGATATCCTAAGATTCGCCTAAGGAGCTCGGCTCCGAGCCTAAGGAGCTGGCTCCGAGCCTAAGGAGCTCGGCTCCGAGCCTAAGGAGCTCGGCTCCGATCCTAAGGAGCTGGCTCCGAGCCTGGGTCCGAGCCCAAGGAGCTGATCAGTATCTTAGGATTTCAGTATCTTAGGATATCAATATCTTAGGATATCAATATCTTAGGATATCAGTATCTTATGATATCAATATCTTAGGATATCAATATCTTAGGATATCAGTATCTTAGGATATCAGTATCTTAGGATATCAATATCTTATGATATCAATATCTTATGATATCAATATCTTAGGATATCAGTATCTTAGGATATCAGTATCTTAGGATATCAGTATCTTATGATATCAATATCTTAGGATATCAATATCTTAGGATATCAATATCTTAGGACATCAATATCTTAGGATATCAATATCTTAGGATATCAATATCTTAGGATATCAGTATCTTAGGATATCAGTATCTTAGGATATCAATATCTTAGGATATCAGTATCTTAGGATATCAGTATCTTAGGATATCAGCATCTTAGGATATCAGTATCTTATGATATCAATATCTTAGGATATCAATATCTTAGGATATCAGTATCTTAGGATATCAGTATCTTAGGATATCAGTATCTTAGGATATCAGTATCTTAGGATATCAATATCTTAGGATATCAATATCTTAGGATATCAGTATCTTAGGATATCAGTATCTTAGGATATCAATATCTTATGATATCAATATCTTATGATATCAATATCTTAGGATATCAGTATCTTAGGATATCAGTATCTTAGGATATCAGTATCTTAGGATATCAATATCTTAGGATATCAATATCTTAGGATATCAATATCTTAGGATATCAATATCTTGGGATATCAGTATCTTAGGATATCAATATCTTAGGATATCAATATCTTGGGATATCAATATCTTAGGATATCAGTATCTTAGGATATCAATATCTTGGGATATCAGTATCTTAGGATATCAATATCTTAGGATATCAATATCTTAGGATATCAATATCTTAGGATATCAATATCTTAGGATATCAATATCTTAGGATATCAATATCTTAGGATATCATTATCTTAGGATATCAATATCTCAGGATATCAATATCTTAGGATATCAATATCTTAGGATATCAATATCTTAGGATATCATTATCTTAGGATATCAATATCTCAGGATATCAATATCTTAGGATATCAATATCTTAGGATATCAATATCTTAGGATATCAATATCTTAGGATATCAATATCTTAGGATATCAATATCTTAGGATATCAGTATCTTAGGATATCAGTATCTTAGGATATCAGTATCTTAGGATATCAGTATCTTAGGATATCAATATCTTGGGATATCAGTATCGTAGGATATCAATATCTTAGGATATCAGTATCTTAGGATATCAATATCTTAGGATATCAGTATCTTAGGATATCAGTATCTTAGGATATCAGTATCTTAGGATATCAGTATCTTATGATATCAGTATCTTATGATATCAATATCTTAGGATATCAATATCTTAGGATATCAATATCTTAGGATATCAGTATCTTAGGATATCAGTATCTTAGGATATAAGTATCTTAGGATATCAGTATCTTAGGATATCATCCAGTATCTTAGGATATCAGTATCTTAGGATATCAGTTTCCTTAGGATATCAATATCTTAGGATATCAGTATCTTAGGATATCAGTATCTTAGGCCGGATATCAATATCTTAGGATAACATCCAGTATCTTAGGATATCAGTATCTTAGGATATCAGTTTTCTTAGGATATCAATATCTTAGGATATCAGTATCTTAGGATATCAATATCTTAGGATATCAGTATCTTAGGATATCATTATCTTAGGATATCAATATCTTAGGATATCAATATCTTAGGATATCAATATCTTAGGATATCAGTATCTTAGGATATCAATATCCTAGGATATCATCCAGTATCTTAGGATA